GAAATATTGCTAAGAGTTTTTTTTTCTTTTTCTGCTTTGCATATTTGGACTGTCTTTTTGGGCACATGTTACTGATGAATCCATCTCAATGCAGTTCACACGATTCCTCTGTGATTCTCCTCTGGAGGTATGTGTTTGTTCTGGATGCAAGTTTTGAAATGGTTTTGTCCTTTCCTCCATACTCTCTGTAAACAGCCAACCATTATGGTATAGGTGGTAGAGATGGGAGGCACAGTATTTGTATCATCACCAGCTGGTAAGGAAGAATCAGCAGTAGGACAAGAGGACACAGACTCAAGCTCTGCCAGGGGAGGGTTAGGTTGGATATGAGGAAGAGATTTTTTACAGAGAGAGTGCTCAGGCATTGGAATGTGCTGCCCAGGGAGGTGGTGGATTCACCATCCCTGGAGGTTTTCAAGCTGAGACTGGATGTGGTACTTAGTGTCATGGGCTAGTGACCACGGTAGGGTTGGACTCAATGATCTTTGAGGTCTTTTCCAACCCTCTTGATTGTATGATTCTATACTACTGTTTTCAAAGGAGTCTGAGGGCTCCTTTGCAGGGTAATAAGCTACCACTGAATTTCATAGCACTGCATTAGAAGACAGAAGCAGAAAGTGCTGTGTCTCTCTTGGTTTTGAATGATTTCCATGCAAAGAAAAGAATGTATTCCTGAATAATTTATTAAGCTTGTACTTGGCTACAATTTGAGTTAAAAGTTGAGGAGCGATGCTGTTGCTTCATTTCAAGTGAGCAAACTGCTGTGGGTTTCTTGCACTGTCTCTCTTGTTAGCCTTAAAGAGTTAAGGACCACATGACTGTAATGAAATTGTCAGGTTATAGTAATTACACTGGTAATTTGATATGTCCCAGTTTGAATGAATCCATGTGCAGAGAGTTTGTTGCTTTTCTCTGCTGAGTCCACTGGCCTTTGCATTCCTGAGAACTGAAGAGTAATAGAGCTCATTAGACTTTATAGGAAAAGGGCTTTTATCACCTCGTCAACTCGGGCAGCAGACTGCGATTATATTCCTAATTTTGTGTGGCTATGGAGATGTTGATGCACACTGCCCTGCCAGGTTTATACCAATATTGTTTCTTACAGACACTTTTTATTGACATTTCGAAGCTTGAATTAAATTTTGTGTGGCACCACTACAGATGTCTTCAATTAGATGAAGTTAAATAAAAGGGGTTGTATATCAGAGGCCAAGGGATTCTTGAAATTCTTTATTCTGAAGCAGTTGCCACGAGCAAATCTAGCAGTGTGTAGTCTGTTTACTCTTTGGAGCAAAAATAATTTAAAATAAAATTTAAACCTTACATGTTTGCAATTTGTAATTTTTTTTATTTTTAATATTATTATTAGCTGCAAATAGCATGAACACCCAAACTCTTCCTGTCTTTTTTTATTCCCTCATTTTATTATTCCATTTAGTTTCTGTTTTGACTATGGGTTCTGGCACAAAAAAATGAAGGGTTTAAAAAAATTATGCAGTATGTAGTATGTATGTATAATAGATCACTAGGCAGTTTCCTAGCAGTAAACAGGGTAATGTGAAGAGAAGTGTTTGAGGGATTTTTTTGATTCATTCTTTCAGTTTAGAAGCTACATTTAAGTAGTATTTTACTACCTCATGTGCAAATCAAGCCTTGTTTGGAGAGGTGTGGTAGTAATGGCTCAGCACAGGAGAGTGGCATATAGGACTCAGCCAAAACACAGTGTGGCCTGGGACCCTGTTGTTGCCAAGGTGAGAGGGTTTATAGAAGAAAGGCACAAGGAAAATCCAGACTGCTCAGGGTGATTCCTAGTTTTTGTTGCTCAGTGAGACAGAGGAGTGTTCTGGGCCAGTGATTATGTTTGCACCACTAATAGTTTTCTCAGTGTTTGTCCTCTCCAGGTTTTCTGTGTCATCTTGATACAGTGTTGGAATGAGCCTTAGCACTCAGATGTGCCATGGCATTATGCAGTCGAAGGATAATTTTGTTTTGCTTTCAAATTATTCTCTAATTGCACTTTAGGCTTTTTTTTTCATCTTGACTGATGGTAAGCATTAAATTGTTGATTTCATGACTCTGTTGTCAAAACCATCTTTTTGAAGGGACTAGTCATTTATACCCATTGTTTTGGGTGTGCCAGTAGCAGTGTTTTCCCCCCATGCATTTATGCTCTATGGATTTATGTACATAGAATCATAGAATCAACCAGGTTGGAAGAGACTTCAAAGATCATCGAGTCCAACCCTACTGTGGTTACTAGACCATGGCACTAAGTGCCACATCTAGTCTCAACAACCTCCAGGGATGGTGAATCCACCACCTCCCTGGGCAGCACATTCTAATGCCTGATCATTCTCTCTAAAAAATCTCTTCCTAATATCCAATCTAACCCTCTCCTGGCAGAGCTTGAGTCTGTGCCCTCTTGTCCTGCTGCTGGTTGCCTGGGAGAAGAGACCAACCCCCACCTGACTCCAACCTCCTGTCAGGGAGTTGTAGAGGGTGATAAGGTCTCCCCTGAGCCTCCTCTTCCTCCAAAAGGCTCCCTGAGCCTCCTCTTCCTTCATGTGTTTAATTTGCACATTATCTTGTCCTGTTGTTGGCAGCTCCTGAGGAGAATTTGACTCCCTCATTGCCCAGAATGCTGTTGGCCATTTTTCCTAAGAGGGTGTATTGCTACTTTCCTTAACAAAAACCTGCAGTGCTACCTCTCTGCTGCCACAGCCTGTATTTGTCAGCTGCTTTCACAGCATCTCCTCTAATCCCTAGTGAAAGGAGGACATAGTTCTGAAAAGGAAATGTGTTGCTAACCAAGAGATAGAAATCTACCATATGGTAGGTTGTGTATGTGTGTGCCATTGGGAAAAGAACTGCTGGAATTAATCACTTCATTTATTTGGCAAATAATTTCCACTGGAGTGTAGAAGTCAAGGGTTTCCTGGTTGGCTTTTTTTTTTTTTTTTTGCTTTGAGTAAGGGATAGCATAGTTTTCATATCTTTCTCTTCCTTCCATCCCCAGCAGAGGGTAGAATGGAAAAGTTAAAAATTGGAAATTTTATGAAACCTTCCAGAGAAAAGCAATCACAGAATCACAGAGTCATAAAGGCTGGAGAAGACCTCTGAGATCATCCACTCTGCCTATGACTTAACACCACCATGTCAGCTAGACCATCACACTGAGTGCCATGTCCAGTCCTTAAACACCTCCAGGGGTGGTGACTCCACTACCTCCCTGCAGCACATTCCAGTGTCTATTCACCCATTCCGGGAAGAAATTCATGTTAATGTCCCACCTAAACTTCCCCTGGTGCAGCTTGAGGCTATGTTCTCTCATGCTGTCACTAGTTGCCTGGGAGAAGAGACCAACCCCACCTGACTCCAACCTCCTGTCAGGGAGTTGTAGAGGGTGATAAGGTCTCCCCTGAGCCTCCTCTTCTCCAGGCTGAACACCCCCAGCTCCCTCAGCCTCTCCTCATAGCACTTGGGTTCTAGACCCTTCACCTGCTTTGTTACTCTTCTCTGGACATGCTCCGGCACCTCAGTGTCCTTGAAATGTAGTTAGTATGGGCAGGACCTAGTTTTGCTAATTCTAAGAAATAAACTACCTCTTAGATTTAAAGTAAAAGAAAGACCAATGTGCTTTGAAGGAAGCTGAGTGCTCTCACTGTCACTGAAGTTCAATTATAAGCAGTTATTGCACTGAAATGTACTAATTGGGCAATATATAATGCCAGTTCTATTAAATATTTAAATTCTAATCATGCATTATAAAATCTGAGCAAACATATGTGGCCATGGAATCATTAACTAGCAGAATATGAAGACAGGTAAAATTAACAAGTAAGGGAATATGTGTTGTTTTTCTCTGCATGGTCTAAACATTGGAGGAAAAAAATGTGTGGTTTTGTCCTGGATTTAGTGTTGGTTTTATTTTTTCCATTGTATTGTGGTATGAGTATAAACTGTTAATTTTGCTTAGATTGGTCCCTTTGGATTGATTCCAGGGCTAATGTATAATTTTGGGTAGATAAGGTAAGCCCTTTCTGGTGGGTCTTGCTTAGCTGATGTCAGTAGTATATTTTACATCACCCTTGACAAACATGGTCCCAGTAGAGATGTCAGCAGTGTGACATGGTGTAACCTGCTTCATGAAAATGTTTCATATTCTAGACCTGTCTCAGGTCAAATTCCCTGGATGGGGCATAGGAAATCAAGGTAAAGGAGCCAAGTATTCACTGAGAAACAGGAGAAAACGTAGTACTGACAAGCATTACAAAGGATTACATTGTATGAGAATTGTTGAAGGAGGGGAAAATCTTACTCTTTTTGAAATGTTATTTGCTTAATGTAATGGAGATCCCTGAACATGTTGCCTGAAATCAGTGCTGTACTTACTGTGTTTGTTACAGAACATAGACTCTTTTATGTTCATGACATTTCACTCTAATTGCATTAGTGAAGTAACTATAGGTTATACTTTACCAGAAGTTCTTAACTTCAGTTTGCAGAGGTCCAGTGACCAAACCTCTGTGATGCTCTTTGAAGGTTTGGGGTCACACACAGACACAGCATTTATTTGAATTCAGAAAACTTTGCTCCGAGTGAAAAATCTTTTCCATGTTGGCTTAGGCTGTCTTTTGTAACATCCATTAAACCCTATATGATGAATTTTTGACAAAGAAAGCAAATCTGTTTTAACTGAAGCTTATTTAAGCAAGTCTGTGTTCTATTACCAATCACATTTCCCAGTGACTTGCAGGAGAGGTTTTGTTCTTTCTGTCACTGGCTGCCCCCTGATTGATAGCTGAGAACTTAACCTCTGCTGAGAAATCCTTAGAGAACATCTCTCGACTCTGTCCTTGCATGAAGGTTTTGCCACTGACCATGTGATTTCATTTGGCTCTACTGAAAATTTGAGGATACTATATAAAACCATAACTGTTGGATAACTAGGCTTTACCTGAACAAGAGGAAACCCAGTTTAACATACTAATATCTGAGTCTGATATCCTCATAGACTGAGATGGAGCTCTCAAACGTTTGATCATGTCACTTTTAGAGTATTTGTACCTCCACATCTAGTTTTATGTTCTATAACTGTATAAAAATGCAAACATTCTCTTACATAGCCTTTATTTGGGGACTTACTGGTGGGGTAAGTCAGTTAAAATGATTTTTGTTCACGTGATTGATTTCTTTTGACACATGTGGTACCAATTAGAGTAACTTCTCCTGCCCATCATCTCTTCAGTCTGTGCTACTGTATCAAAATACTTGATTAAACCCACCTTCTGCTGTTGTAATGCAAACCAGTTGGTAATAGCAGGCAATACTGTCAGATTTATTGAGTGAGAAGCAGCTTTCTGAAGATCTGGCAATGCACTGAAAAACATGACTAGATGGATAATTAAGTTGAGCACAGTGGAATTCAGGATTAAAGTAAACTTGACGTGGGAGAAAATGGCATGCCAGAGCTGGTTGGGTAATGCAGTTTAAATTAGGAGATCATTTTCTTCTTAACTGAAAGCATTGCTTTCTGGCTCGAGGTGCTTTACCCCATCCAGAGATGAACTTCACTGCACATCCAAAACCACAGCACACAACAATAGCCAGTTCCTGAGTGTTTTTGCAGAGGATACTCTGATGTTGGCTGCTGGCAAAGAAGTTCCATGGATTTTGATGCAACACAGTTTCAGGTTCTTAGATAAAAGATATTAATTGTAGAGAGAGAACCTCCTATAAAGAATAAAATGTTCAGGTTTTTTATAAATGCTCCTCTGAAACAAATTTAATGGCCACTCTGAGAAACTCAATTTCTGTGGCCAAAGTGCTTCCTGTACTTGGGGACATGGGGGAGAGAAACAGGAGAGTCCTTGATGTGGCAGAAAGTGTTGGACACACTAGTCAGCCCCAGCCAACCTTGGGAAGGGCACAGGGATGTGTCTGTGTTCACCTTTCTGCCTTTGGGCTTTGTCTCTTGTTGGAGGGTAGACAGGTCAAATTAAAGGGTGTCTGCAGATTCTGTTTGCATGCAATAATGCATTAACAGCTTGATGAGCCATGTTGTTCTGTCATGTCAGTACTGTAAATGCTCAATGAGGCTATTTCAGCTCCATGTTTGGGATCTGTGATTGTGGAGTTTACCCATCAAGAGTACAGCAAAGGTCACAAATGATCCAGTGAACCAGCATTGTTTTCCTTGCTTTTCCAAGTCCTTTTTGCCTTTTTATAAACACAGCCAGAATGATTTCTCACAGTATTTATTTAGTCGTTAAAGTTCTTTCTGAAATTGTTTTTACACTGCAAGTCTGTCAGACAATACATCCCTCTCTTCTTTTTGCTTAGGCAGAGCATGTCCCAAACGGACCAGAATGTGGCTATGGATCTTTCCACCAGCAGTATTGGCTGGATGGGAAGATAATTGCAGTTGGTGTAATTGATATCCTGCCCTACTGTGTGTCCTCTGTCTACCTGTACTACGATCCAGACTTTTCTTTCTTATCTTTGGGAGTCTACTCTGCACTACGGTAAGAGTTCGTTTTTGTTATCTGGTTAGATGTAATAGTAAGAATTGATACTTGTTTCTAAACTTGAGCTTTTATTTCCAGTCTAAACATATACTTTTAACACTCTCTAGCAAAGTTTTTGTGGCTGCTTTTTAATTCTCTGTGGTTGATTGCATTGCAGATAAATTTTTAATTGTCATCCTTGACTAGAGATGTATCTTTCTCATTAGCTAAATACTTTCACAGATTAAAAAAACACTCAGAAACTAAATACCTGGTTTTTATTGCCCCTGAAAATAATTTAGTATTGCTTGGTTTCGGCAGGAAAAGCCCCTTTTTTGTTTGCATAGGAATAATTTTTCCTTTGACCTTTTTCTTAGCCCAGTCACCAGATGAAATTAATCACTTTTATAGTTTTATGCATGTTGAGATCATAAATAATAAAGTACCTAAACCCTGTTGTCCTCTGAATTAGTAGTCTCCTGCTGTACTAGCACTGAGTATATTTTTCAGGTATGTTAATCTCATTATCTTTGTCTTTAGAAAGGCTGATGGAGTGAGTAATCCTATGAATTTTAAAGCCTTAAATTAACTATCAACTGAGTCTTGCAAAGCAGCAGGAATGTTGAGATCATAAATAATAAAGTACCTAAACCCTGTTGTCCTCTGAATTAGTAGTCTCCTGCTGTACTAGCACTGAGTATATTTTTCAGGTATGTTAATCTCATTATCTTTGTCTTTAGAAAGGCTGATGGAGTGAGTAATCCTATGAATTTTAAAGCCTTAAATTAACTATCAACTGAGTCTTGCAAAGCAGCAGGACAGGAAACTTGTATGCTAAATTGCAAGTTACTGTTTTTCTTCCATAAGTAATTTTATTATTCCATTGTTATTACCAAAACCTGAATGAATGGAAAAACTTTTGCATGTCAGTTTTTTGCTTCTCTGTTTACATGAAAGTAAGCGGGTCACAGACGTGGTGTTCCCAGGGAGGTTCTCATGAAGCAACTGGGTTTGAACTTCATGCTAGACATGTCTGTTTTCAAGTTTCCCTGGGTATGAGAAGCTGTAGCACAAGTCTTGTTGAGATTTGCACTGCACTCTTCCTGGTGCAAAAGAAGCACTAGAACTGTGAGATCCAGCTTCCTTCTTTCTCCAAGGCATCCAGTTGAGAGGCATCTTCTCTATAGGTGGAGCTTCTCAGCTATGTTTGAGTGTTACCTGCCAGGATGAGTAAATGGCACAATGTGAACTACATAAAGCACAAACAGTACTTTTAGGAAACGTTTGATCACAATTACTTTGTATCCTTTTGTGATAACTAAGAAACCATGTGCAATTTAATCTCTCAAAAGTCTAATCTGAATTTGTTTAGATTTTGATTAGGATCTTTTGATTTCCTAAGAATCTTTTCACCCTCCTTTTGAGTGTATTCTCTTTCTGGGGTGAATTTTGTCATTGCTGAATAATCTTTACATGAGTTGCTCAAATACACCTGTCAAAGGGTTTTCCCCACCAAGTTCACTGTTAAGTTTCTGGTATTTGTCTGATGGTTCATTGTTGCTGGAATGAGATGTTGGAATTACTCCTCTCCATCTCTGCTACATGCTGGGCTTCTTGCAACCCTATATTTAGCCAGTTTAGTTTACTGAGCAGAGGACAGTTTGCCTTAGCAACCAAGTTAGTGAACTGAGTTGGCTCAGTGAGGAACCTTTTAACAGCAGAGCTGGTGCAAGTGTTATGATGGAGCCACAATATGCAGCTGAGAATGGCTGAGAGAGCAGGACCTGCCCCACTCCCTGCTAAGCTCTTGGATCACTTGAGTCCTGAGGTGCAATTTCTCTAGGTATGTCACCTTTAATAAGAGCTGGTAGCATTGCCTTCCTGTTGGCTTTCCCTGCCTGCTTCCTTTTTATGAAGAAGAAAGTGTAGAATCAGAGGAGGTTAGGCCAGGAAGGATTTCTGGATATCATGTGCTCCAGTACCAGCACAGATCAGGGCTAACTTCAAAGTGATCCTGAGCATCAGTGCAAGTGTTGCTGTAGCATCTCCAGTGGTTGCATCTAAAAGGGTCTGAAGTGTCATTTTCTGAGGCTTTCTGGTGATTTTGTACAATTAATCAGACTTAATAAATGTAGAAAAGTGTTGGAACTCCTATGATTTGTATTAGCTTTTTAAAAGTATTTTCTGACCTGTGTTAGATACTTGAAATTAGACTGTTATTTCCTTTCAAGATGAACGTATGAGACAAAATACTAAGAGTTGTTTTTTAGTCTTTGTGCATATCACATTACTCTGTGTAATAATAGTCTGACATAATCCATGCTTGGGAATTCTTGAAATTATTTTAAATTTTCTACATAATAAATTTAAGGCTTTGTCAGTGCAACATGTGTAAAAGCAGCTTGTAAATTCTGCAGCATTTAAGGCAATAAAAATGAGTTCCCAACAGTCTTAGAGGGAGAAAACCTTGTTCTTCTCTCAAGAAGGGGAAAAATAAAAGTTGAGTTAGGGGGGATTTAGGAAGTTGCAAAGGAATCTGATACCTTCAAAGCTGTTGCCAATTTTACTCTGAGGTTAAACTGCCTTGCAGTGCTGTCACTTCCACTCCAGGCCACTGAGAATTTCTGCGACTGAGTTGTAGAAAGGATGAGATTTGAGGATCATTTGAAATATGTAGGCATGTAAGTAAAGGATGAGGGGAGAAGCTGCTACTTGGAAAGGAAAAAAGATCTTCGAGAAACGCTGAGTGATTCTTATGTAAGCAGGAAGTTAAACCGAAGACATGCATAGTATTCATCATCTCTGTTTAGCAGGAGGACAGGTACTGAACTTCTTTTAGAATTGGGCTGTGGAGCACTCAAACACAAAGTCTGAATTTTGTATTGCTGAGATGAATATGTTTCTCTCACTAGCTGATTCCCTTGGCCAAGCACTAACTCTTACATCATTCTGCCTCTTTAGATATGGACCATAACTGAAAGCTTTACAAAGAGGTAGCTGCAAGTCTGGTCCCTTTTCCCTAGGAAAGCCTGTGGGTAGCTGTGTGTTGTGCCATAGAGTGATACCTCTTTGCTGCTCCTGGTGTGGAGTGATGGAGTTGGAGACTGTCTTGCACGTGGTCACAGCACACACCTGAAAAGTGGAAAGAGAAGCATGTTATAACATCCTCCCAGTAAAACTTTGCCTGGAGGGAGATTGACTGGATAGATAAATGAAAGATAGAGCAAGAACTTAAGTTCAAGGTCCTTCCCTAGGGCATAGCACTGGAGACTGTAGGACATGTGAGGACACTGGCAGTAGTTCAAGCTTGCTTTGCTGTCACAGACACCAGTTTGCTTGCATGAAGCCTTTTTGCCCACAGTAAGACTTGCTGCTGCAGCCCAGTTTTTACCTCCTTACATTAGGATCTATCTACTTCTTCTTCTGTTAGCTCTGAGTCCTCTTTTGTCAGATCTAATAGTGTGGTCCAGTTGGGAAGAGTGCTGAAGAGGTTTTTAAGTATTCATTTTTTGTTTTATAGAAGTCTCATCCTTTAAATAGATCAAGAGCCAGATATTTCAATATGAAGAGGTAAAACAACTGTTAGAATTGTATTCAAATCTAATTAGTCTTTTCTTTCCTTTCACAGGGAAATTGCTTTTACTAGGCAACTTCATGAAAAAGCTCCTGATCTCTGTTTTTATTATATGGGTTTCTACATTCATTCATGCCCCAAAATGAGATACAAGGTAAAGTGTATTTTTACTTATTTCCTTAGTGTGCTATTTGTCAAAGCTTTTGACAGTGTTCAGAGTAATAGAATATTTTGTAATTGTCATTTTGGATTTTAATGTAGACTTTAGATGGTTAAATTTGAATGTTGGTTACTATTTAACTTGGCTTAGGATTACTTTTTGTAAAAAATTTAGCTGTATGTGCTATTTATTACAAGTTGGCTTAAGAGCAGTTCACATGGAGAGGCTTTCAAGGCTGTCAGATAATGGTTTGTCCTCTGGTTACCTGACTATCTCATGTTTACAGTGTCTCTTCTACTGGACTGAAATTCTCCCTTTTTAGGTTTGCATATTTGTGAAACTGTTGCTTAGTGACCACAGGCAGTGATAACATGCCTCCATGCTCTTGGCTCTAGTTGGGTTTTCCCTCTTTGTTTTTTGTTAGAGATAAGGGACTTGCTCTGCCCCTGAAACCAGTGACAAGTTTGGTGAGCAGATTTTTGAGGAGAGTGTCCTCAAAAATGTTTAGAATAACCACTCTGTCACCAAACCTCCTTTGTAACCTCTGTTAGCTTCAGCCTTCTTGAGGCCTGAGTGCCTCAGAGTGTCTCCCATCTGTGTATTTTAGATCCTGTGAATGTTGTACCTTTGCTCTGTAGAAGTATCATTGCTTTTAAATATTATGATACAATTTCAAGTAGTGAACGTTGATAGAAGTTAGCTGAACATTTACACATAGCTAAATGTATCTGTTAACAATGTGGAATGATACAAAGCTTGTGAAATCTAGAGTAAGAGGTGCAGTATTTTCATTTCCTTTTTTTCCCCCTTAAAGTCTGCTAAAAATCTACATTATTTTCAGTTTTCAAACAGCCAAAAAGTTGTGAGGCTCATTAAAGTGATGGTTGTGAAGGAAAATCCATTTCAGCTTTGTTGTGGCCCACACTACAGGTGACCATGATGATTCAGTCTTCTGAAAAGAACAAATAACAAATCCCTCCCTCTTGTTTTGTCAGAAGATGTTTGTCTGCATGTGTTTCCCCTTTGCCAGCTTGAATTTATCATGTACATCTGCTGGCCAAACAAAGAGGATATTTAAGTTTGAAGGAGGCAAATGGGTTAGTTGGAAAACACTGCCTCTATCAGCTAAAGGCTATCACATCACCAGCTTGAACCATAGGTTCTGATTACTTTCTCTACTCTTTGGAGGTATTTAAAAGTTTGGGATGATTTGTTTGAGACGCTGCAATCTGACAACCCTTGTCTGTACTACAGCCTGCATGGCTCAAGACTTGTAAAATGAATGTGTTTGATTTACTAGGGCACTTAGAATAAAAACAAATCTGTCTATAATGGCAAAAAGTGTCCATGGGTAAGAAGCTTCGGGTTCAGCTGCTTGTAGTGTTTTAATAAAAACATGAACGTTGTGTACGTGAGTTAAATCAGGGTTATACATAAGGCAATGTATTGAAGTAGCTACTATACATTTATAGTATGTATCATAACATGGTGTCTGTTCTGTTGGGCCTGTGCTGCTGTTTGAAAATGATTGCATCAAGAATGTAAGATTCCCACAATGCTTCTGGATTTCATTCCGAAATAATGGAAATTGATTAAATTGTAGTGGGAGTATGTTGCTCCCCCTCCCCCCCCAAAAAAAAAAGCTCTTTTTGTTCCCATGCTTAGACTTAATGACTATCTGATATGACTGTGATTTGGTAGAATGCAGATTTTAGTCTTCCAGAAACGTACACATATCAATGTCCTTAGGTGATTAAAGCTGGGAGGGAGAAGAAGAAAATCTGTACATATGTAATTAAACACACACAGACACACACATAATGCTCTGTGTTGGGAGAGTAATAATTTAGCAAATTAATTGCAAGGGACTTAATTTTATTTTGTATTTTTTTTCCTGGGTGTATTTGTTTCAGAAGCAGCCAAAAGTAATGCAATTGAAAATCAGGTTGACATTCATTCTGCAGTTCCACTTTAGCCTCACTGAAATAATACACCGGAAACAAATTTAAAACCTAAGCTCTGAAACGTATCTGGATAATGCTACTGCTCTTGGGGAGTGATTGGGAGTGGTTGGGACTGTGGGGAGGTACTGACTTTGCAGATGGAGTAATTTCAGTAATGCCTGGTTGACTTAGAGGCATTACATGCTGAAGACTTTGCTTTATTGCAGTTTAATAGAGATGTTAGAGGCTCCTTTCCCCCTTAATGGCATTAGTGTGGAAGAATGACAGGCTGTAGGTAACTTGTTATACTGATGTCAGGTAAGGAAATTAAATGAAGGAAAGAAAAAGGATCTGGAAAGCTAACCACTGGAGGGTTTATCCTTTACTTGTCATTTTCTTTGCAGCTTATTTCTCCTTGGATGTTTAGAAATGGAAGCTCAGCACAGTATCACTTCCCTGTATGAGCAGCATCTTGTGAAGAACATATGCACATTGTACTTATTTACGGTGATGTTATAGGATTTGGGAAGTCTTTGAAAATGCTCCTTCTCCTGGTCACAGATTGGGATCAGTGGAAATGCCTAAGCTAACACTAGCATTTGATTTTTGATGGACATGCAGTACTAGACTACTTCTAGTAAAGATGCCTGAGCTTGGCTACTGGTTTGTACCAAACAACTGGTTCCTGCTGGTTAAAGAGGGATCAGTGATGAGGATGTGTAAGGGACAGTGGCTTTAGGATGTTGGTTTAAGGAGCTTGACAGTGTTCTATTTTGCATGGAGTGAAACTCAGTCTGCTGTACAAGAAGTGGTTGGAGTGACTGGAAATCTGTGCAATGACCTGTTGTGCTTGTGTTTCAATCCGAGGCTGATGCATTAATGTGCACATGAGCACACAGCTGGACATTTTGGTGTTACATATGGCTCCTAGATTGGAGCCATGGATATCCAAGAGCAAGCTTTAAAGCCTTGCTCTGCAGTGGAACTTTGTTGGAATGCAAGCCACAGACATCTCTTCTGGATTCTGACTTTTTCCTGGATACAAATTAGTAGTCAAGCACTGGTTTTGAGAGTATTGGTAATTGCTGATCATATACACCAGTGACTGGTATTTGATATAATATGGGTATCATTCTAACTTTTAATTTGATATAATATTATTGTATAATATTCAGCAGCTGTTGAATATTTCTAGCCACCCTGAGCAGGTCAGGGGCTAAAGTGGCAGAGAATATTGGGGGTCAGTGTGTGACCTTTCCATCTTTAGGATTCTCTTTCCACAAATGATACAATTTGGGGCATGAATACTGTGTGCTCCAATGGAAGATTGGAAGCCTGAGTGGCCTGGAAGTGGATTCCAAAGTCAGGATTCCTGTGGCTCAGTAACAGACTTGAGGAATTCTGGATTATCAGGCAGGAGGATGCATGGTTAGAGTATCATCTAACTCATGGATCAGACATAATTACAGAGGTTTTTAAAAATAAAGCTCCTTTTTGACTCACTGTTCCCATTCCTTGTGTTCCCAAGCAGCCTGCAGTTGATTGCCATGTGATTTTAAAACAGTGGAATACCAGTGGAGGTACTTTACGATGGGGGAAGGGACTACATTGCAATCTTAAGCTGTTTTTTAGTTCCCAGCTTCTACCAGATTTGTTCCCATCTATGGGTTAATACCTATAAACTGGTAAAGTAAAATGTACATTAAATTGAGACAAAAGGATTTCTGTAGTGCTATTAACTGTGTTAATATGGAAAAATCCAATGAAAAACCTTAAGCAGTGGCTTTGTTCCATTTTTTTCCGGGTAGGTTAGGGTAATACAAGATTAAAATGGTTCTCTGAAGAAATTCATGACCTTGTGGTAAACCTTCTCAGGCTCTGTTAGATGTGGTAGTTCTTACGTTGGAAAAGAGCCTCCTGGAAGATTTTCCAGGAATCGTTAAGATGCAAAGTCTTTTTCCTAATGCATTTTGGAATGTGTGATACAATTTTAAGTGTAAGAAAGTATTTTACTTTAGGATGATGTTGGTTCTCATAGGTTTAAGTGGTGTAGGTGTACTTGTTAATGTTTTTCAGCATTTACAAATGTATTTATAGAATTACAGAAATAAAAGTAGCACCCTTAGCAAACAGCCATAGCAGAGAGACACTCGAGAGGACTGCGTGCAGCTTTGGGCACCACAGTGCAAGAAAGTTATGCTGCTATTAGAGAGTGTCCATAGGAGGGACATGAACGTGGTGAAGGGTCTCGAGGGGAATCCATGCAAGGTCCCTTGGTCTGTTCAGTCTGAAGGAGAGGAGACTTCATCACTGGATACAACTTCTTCACAAGGGGCAGTGCAGGGGCAGCTCTGACCTCTGCTCTCTGGTAAGCAGTGACAGGACCCAAGGGAATGGCCTGGAGTTGTGTCAGTGAAGGTCCAGGTTAGATATTAGAAAAAATATCTTCCGCCAGAGGTGTTTGGGCACTGGAGCAGCTCTCCAGGGCAGTGGGCACAGCCCCAAGCCTGACAGAGCTCAAGGAGTGTTTGGCCAATGCTCTCAGGCACAGGGAGGACTATTGGGATGTTCTGTGCAGGGACAGGAGTTGGACTCAATGATCCTTGTGGATGCCTTCCAACTTTGACTATTCTGTGATTCTGTGACTTTGGATTTTTCCCCACACTTGTGTGTTTTGTCCTGCATCTTTCAAGTAAAAAATTTTACTCCATGGCTCTATGTTAGTAAATTCACACTTCCAGTCACTGCTGAACTCTCTGAGATCCTTTCTGTTCTTTCCATTACAGTCCTTTGATACTGATTTTGAGTCTTGTGGTGGGTGATACTAAACAGGTTTGGGTTTTGTGTTTCTGGTGTAAATAGTAAGTGTACTTGGCTGCTGTGCATTTGCCATTGGGCCTCAGTTGACCTTAAATCACGATCCTCTCTAAGTTCCTGTGTTGGGAAGGATTTGTTGGTGAAGCTCTTTACATGAGTTTCCTTAGTTCTGGGGTTTCTGAGGTTTTTCAGTGTCAATATTTGCATGCAAATACTGCAGTTGGAGCATGTATC